ATAAAGCTACTTGTCGTTTCTGTTAGACTTAATAGTTCAGATCAGTCTGTTGTTTTCCATTGTTTGTAATCTATACAACAATCATCATCTTCATCAATATTGTCTTGAGAGTACAACTCATTTTCAAGATAATGTACCAATGTAGAATCTTCTGGGCACAAAGGGCAACGATGTATCATACAAGTCTTGTTTGCCCTACTACAAACAAGCATATCAATAACCTTGTGATAATCCTTTTAAAATAAAAAATTCAATTTTAAAATGGTGTGTTACACCATTTTAAAATTGAATTTTTATATAGAAGCTTGAGTTTTTGTGTGTTTTAGCCATCATTTTTAAGTTCCTCACCCTAAAAAATAGTTATGTAGAAATTTTGACCACTATTAAACAAGTATTTCATAACTTAAAGCTAATTGTGTCTTGCAATGAGCCTAAAAAATAAATGGCGCTGAAAAAAAAAGTCAAAAAAGAGGTTGGGACCAAGTATCAATATCTCTGAAACCGTAAGGAGTCAGACACTAAAATTTGGAGTAAAGTTTTGTTTTATTAATTCAAGCTTGTATTCCAAAAATCAGCAAAATCTGAGATGGAATGGTGCCAAGCATAAATTGAATTGAGCTGGAATGACCCATTATTATCTATTGTATATTATTACCGAACATAATAGTAGTGTTAGTAGTAGTGCGCTTTCAAGCCTGTTTGACACGGTACCCTTGGCAGCCATTGCGAGCAAGGTAATGGCAAGAAAGAGTTGCTGCACTTTGTTTTATAAGAAAATGTGAACGAATGCGTATCCAAATATCTAACATACGTCAACTTTAAATTAAGTTATGTTAAAACATACTGAAACATTTATCAAGTTTTACAGTTTGATTTTCACTTGGAAAATTGCGTTGTTTCAAGCTCTCCTTACTTTGGCGCCGAAGTTCAATTCCTACCAATGGGGACTTTTTATTTTTTTTTTTTTTTTATTATTATTTTAAAATATAAAATACTTTTGAAGTTTTATAAAGGTTTTATACAAACATGTAATGTAACACATAAGAAAAGATTTGATAAAACATCAAAAAAAAAAAACATTACCGGGAGAAAAAATTTGTTGCATATGTATGATGATTGAGACACTTATGTTATTAATGCGCTCAGGTAATTAGTCCTAATAAGTTGTGGGTGATCTGGAAAAAAAAGTTGTTTGAAACTTAATATAGACAGTCCTGCTACTCCAGAAGGTGCTGCTGTGGAGGCAAAAAAAAACCTGTAGCTAGAAAAACTTATAATTTTCTTTTGACAATTTAAAGTTTTTTTTTAATATATTTAATTTTTTACTATAATGCTATATATATATATATATATATATATATATATATATATATATATATATATATATATATATATATATATATATATATATATATATATATATATATATATATATATTATGCATAATATATTACATTTAATATATTATCCTGCAGCCGTTTTTCAAAATTACTTAATATGCCTTTTTCGAGAAAAACGCAATTTAAAAAAAAATATTAGGAGAAAGTCTTGCAAAATGTTTTTGGAAACTAATACTTTTTTAGAATATTTTTAGAACTCTTTGAAAATATTTATTTAATAATTTTTGTAGACATCTAAACTAGCTTATTTTGTAAAAAAGTCAAAATTGATTTTTTTTTTTTTACCTTTAAGCGTTTTGAAAAACGGCTGCAGAATGGATGATACAACTAATATGTTGAAATAAGATTATTTGACGCAAAAAGCTCTTAACAAATGCCACTAAAACCAAAAAAATTAAAAGTAATTGCATTTCAGTATATTTAAAATTTTTAAGTATATTACTTTGGTGTTTGCAAAGAAACATTTTATAAATCGTTTTTTAATATAAAACTAATTTTTTTCTAAACTTTTTTTGTATAGGCAGGTTTGCCCCTTAACCATCCCTATATAAACAATATATATAAATAAATATGTTAGTTGTTTATGTATATTGTTTGTGAAATGTAAAAAATCCATTTATATACCGTTTTTTTTTGTTTTTTTTTAATGCCAATTTATGTTAATTTAAAATTTTGAAAATAACATGAGGTTTACTACAGACTTATTGATCGGATCAAATTATTATTTATAAAGGTTTTAGATTTTACAACCCATTAGGCAGATAATAACAGACTATAAAAAAAGACTCGACTTGACACCACTTGACTGGCAAGGACAACATTCTTGCTCTTTACAAAACCAAGTCACATTATAGAAAAGTACGCCACTTGGCTAGCAAGGACAATATTCTCGCTGTAAACTATATAAAACCTAGTCATAACACTTTGAAACCACGGAAACAATATAATAACCACTTACAAACTATGAACACATAACAGTATAACACATCATTAACATAGAAGCACTTCATATATAAAAGGTATTTACACAATTGCAAAATATAAACCCATATAAACTCTGACACATATAAACACATAATAACACATAAAAAATAATTGAATATATAAATTAAGAAAAATATATAAATTAGAAATATTTACAACTACAACCTAATTTTTGTAATATTTGTTCATGATACCTTATTAAATGTTTCATACCTTGTATTGGGTATTTATCAATTTTAAAAAGCAAACAATCAAACAACCGTGTTTTTTATATTATAAAAGCAAACAGACTTTCTGTAATTTCTTTAAAATAAAGTAATAAACAAGTATACAACATAGAGTTGACCTTATTAGATGTGAGGGTTTTGAAGATAACACCAACTTTATCAAGAGTTTGACCAATATCAAAAGTTTGACCTTTAAAAAGAGCATCGCCTTTGAGTTCTTAAAAATAAAAATTACATATTAATATACTTTAAAAACAATTGACAAGGCCTTGAATTGTGTTATTATTAAAATACATGAATTAAATAAATTACCTGACTTTAAAAGTTATTATACTTATTTAAAAACAACATAAGGTTTATCTATTAATACAGAAGTCATCAAATTGTTATCTAATATAAAAGTTTTCAAATCTTATTACTGATTAAGCAGATTACAATAAAGATAAAGATTTAAGAATACCTTGTGTGGTCAAAAATATATAAATAAACTCTGTGTCAAATGCGCACAAATGAGTAATGCAACATATAAAAATATAATACAAAAGCAGCAGCGTTAAGTTAAACAATAATTCAAAGAATTAAGAATGTTCAACTTAATTTCACTCGATTCAAAGAAATATATATTGACAATCAAACATATATTTTATTGTCAATATATTGAATCTTATATTGACAATCAAACATATATTTGACAACGCATTTTTAGTAAAAACTTTGTTTTATGTAATTGCTATAGTAACATTTATTTAAATGATTTGCTTATTATGATTTATTTATTAAGTATTAAGTATTCAGTTTTGATTTTTTTTATATTTTTAAAAAATTATTTTGATATTTAAAAAGAATTCAACATTAAATTTAATTACTTGGATGTTATCAAAGTTTCTTTTTTTGATTGAATAAAAATGTGTGGGCTCGAAAGTTATTTTATTATTAACATTTATTTTAATATTAACAGTTATTTTACGATTAGTATTAGGTAATTTGAAGGTTAGTAATTTACAAGCTTCCATTTACAAAATTCATTGTTTTTATTTAAAACTATTATTTTAAAAGGAATAAGAGATCCTTAATTTTCAATCATTAAGTTATTTTATTTATGTTTAGTCATAAATTATAATGTTCAATCATAAAGTACTATTATTAAGGCATTCGGTCAATAATTAACATTTAAATTACCAGGTAATGTTAATAGTTTAAAATAAAAAGAAAGTTTGGTACTATTCAGTTTAAAATAAAAAGAAAGTTTGGTACTATTTAAAAAAGAAAGTTTGGTACTATTCAGATACATTAATTTTGAATTTTTTTTAATTTTAAAACAATTTTAACAAAATATTTAAAAAGTTTAAACTGAATACTTGACACTAAAAGAAATCGTTTGAATATATTTATGTATAAATACATATTTTTACGTATAAATACATATTTTTACATATGAATATGTATTTATACATATAAATACGTGTTTTTAAAATATATTTACCTATAAATACATATTAAATATTTTTATTAAAATAATAATAAAATCAGATCTTCAATCATTTATAAAAAAAGGATTTTCACCACCATTAAAATGAAAGCAAAAGGATTTTCACTGCCATTAAAATGAAACTAAATAAGTGAAGCAAAAAATTATTAGATATAATTCACGTCTTAATATTCCTCAACAAAGAGAATTAAAGTAGCATATTGTTAACAATAAAATAATTTTGAACACATTTTCCAAACTTAAATTTTTATGAAATTTTAGTATAAGCATTTTCCAAATTACATTTTGATTATTTGTCAAACCCAGTTTTTCAACACTCTGATTTTTCTCAACCCGTCAACCCGCAAGAATTCATTTTGGGAGGTCAAAATAGCAATTTTAGTCATTTCGGGTAGTTGTTGACCAGTGACCAGCCGTTATTTTCCACACTGTGTGTGTTTATATATATATATATATATATGTATATATATATATATATATATATATATATATATATATATATATATATATATATATATATATATGCCTATTCTAAGAAAAAAATTTGGGTGGCGGTACCCCCTCATTCCGGCAAACTTTAACGGAAAATAAGCGTTTTTTTTTTTTTTTTTTTTTGCGAAAAAAAAAAACATTTGCCATAAAAAACGTAAAAAAAAAAAAAAAAAAGTCCTCAAATTTTTATTTGGGCGGCACCCAAAAACAGTCCCGAATAACTCCTGATATATATATATATATATATATATATATATATATATATATATATATATATATATATATATATATATATATATATATATATATATATATATATATATATATATATATATATATACATATATAACACCTAAAACTCTTTCAACGTGTATTATGTATTCACAAATACATTTACTTAATTTTTAGTTAGAAAATGCAACTCATCGCGACCGTTTGTATGATCTTTCAGCGATTGTAGTTCACTGTGGCACGTATGTAAACTTTCTATTTTTTCTAAATTTCTATTTTTTTCTGATCAAATTTTTTTGTCTGATTTAAAAAAAACTTTCAATTTAGTGGTCCAAATCGTGGTCATTACATTGCAATAGTTAAAAGTCATAACATTTGGCTGCTTTTTGATGACGACATTGTAGATGTAAATAAATTTAATTTATTTTTACCTTTTTAAATGAGTCAGTTAATTGGTTATTTATAAGAGATATGTACAAAGTGAGTAAAACATAGCCTGTGTTGGTGAGATGACAACAAGGTTTGTAAGTGAGATTGATGGGATAAGTAATAGGATGTCTCATAGTACCAGGGGCAGATCTAGCATTTTTTTGTCTTTGACATAACTTCCAGACATGGAGCAAACTTCAAACATTTATATGTTTATACTTATGTCAAAAAATTGCTATGTTTGGAAAGCAACAAATTGATAAAACATTTTTTGTACTATACTCAACTAGACTTTTATTCATCGATAAGTTTTATAGTAAAAAAAATTATGACCATATAAAATTTGTAACCTCCTCAAATTAAGGGGGTTCAAACTTTATATGGTCATAATTTTTGAACACTAAGAGGTTCAGGCTTTAACAGGAAGACGTGTAATTTCATGTCTTTATATGACCACGCAAAAAAAAAAATGTTTTAACGATTTGACCACGGCATATTTTTAAAATTTAAAAACGCGCTACAAAAACTTACCTAAACTTATCTGAAAAAAAAATTTAAAAAAATAATAAATATTAACGAAAAAGAAAATAAAAAAAATTACTTAGTTAAAGCAAAAACATAAAAAAATAAATAAATAAATATATATATATATAACGCAACTAAAATTAAACACTCGTCAAACTAAAATGTTTAGTCTATTTAATTTACGCATTAAAAAACCTTTTCAATTTTTGTTTTAACATTTTTATATATTTTTATTTGTTTAATATGTTCAAAAGTTAAATATTTCTCATAAAAAATACATAGTTATATAAATTAAATAAAAAAACATTTTATAAATACTTTTTTTTTAATTAATTAGAAGAGTTTTTTTTTTTACTGCATTAAAAGCTTTTCGATAATATAAAAGCATTTAGGATCAAACTTATTAAATTGTAACAGTTTTCTAAAACTTTTTTTTTTAATGAAATTTTGTTTATCTTTTTAAATGCATTAACTTTAATCATTTTTATATTTAAATTTGTTAAAGAGACTAGTTGTAGAATGTCATCGTTTATAAAAACAAAACAATTTTTTATTTTTTAATAAGATTTATTTTAAAAAATGTCAAACCAAAAAATGCTACATCTGCCTTGGCAAAGTACAACGTTATGAGTTATTAAATCTTTATTTTTACCTATATTTTAAAAAATTTTAGTGTTTTTGCTTTTTATATGAAAAAAATGTAGGACTCAAAATCAAGGAGATTTTAAAGCTGGATTTCCATAGTTAATTTAAGGAATCTAATTACAAAAATCATGAAGTCTAGAGCTCTATAAGTCCTAAAAAAATATTAATGAAGTCTATAAATCCTAGAAGATTTTTAGCATTTCGGGATTTTTTCGGGCTTGAAGTTTTTCTTTTGGGTGTATTTTATTTTGGCAACAGTTTTCAAAAGTATTAAATAATTTTTTTGTTTTTTTGAGCTAAAATTTTGCTTCAATACATATTTTTTTCTGTCTATTTAAGAAAGTAATTTTTCTTTAACATTTGTTCCTTAAATAAATACCTTTTCAATCTTTTTTTTTTTTTAAACTTTTTTTTTGTCAATTACACCATTTTTGTTTTTAGATTATAAAAGAGTATTTTGAATAAATTCAAGGGGTTTTTATATATATGTTTTGATTTAAAATTTTGCAATCTCTGAAAAATTAGTAAAATTATAAACATTGCACAGTATATTGCTTTATACATGCTAGGTGGACCAAAGTCAGTTCAAGAAATCAACTAATTGATATTATTTTCACAATTACAGTCCCATATAGTTAATAACTTGCAGTGTTAATTATAAAAACATTATAGAGAAATTAGTAATTAAAAAAAGTAAGCAATTAAAAAATGATTAAAATGTAATTTCATTTTTTAAAAGATTTAGCTACAAGTTTACAGCATTTATAATACCATTTAACAAAATTTTAAGAAAAGAATCATTTTATTGCAGTGCTGGGTTTTACTTTAGAGGAGAAGTACTATTTAATTAAATTAAATATTTTATTTAAAGGTGAAGCAATATATATTAAAATATTCAAAAGTGAAGCAATATGTATTAGAATATTCAAAAGTGAAGCAATATGTATTAGAGTATTCAGAAGTGAAGCAATATGTAATAAAAGTGAAAAACTGCGTTAAAATTGTCAAATCTTTTTTTGTTTTTTAATTTTTTAACTTATAAAACTTTTTGTATCCTCATTTGTATTCAAGTTAATTTTTAACATTGTATAGCTAAAGTCCCAAGGTGTACAACAGGTAAAAATTTTCACCACATCAAAAGAGGTGTACCGGATATTTTTACTGGATATGTTAGATATTGAACTTTTCTAAGGTTCTATATGTGTTTATAAAGAAAAAATTTTTCTTTGCCATTCTACAATAAATAGTATTCAAGATCTTACTTAAAAGATTAGTGAAAAACTGTATGGCACGGTATATGTGCTGACAAAGTATAGAAAATAGTAACAAAAAAAAAACAAAAATTTGGCTATAAAAAACGATTTTTCTGTATACATTATTAATGTATATACCTGTGTTTCACCAGTTTTTTATTGATTTTGTTTTTTTAAATTTTGAACACTAATGTAGTATGGCAAATCTTGTTTTTACTTCATAAACACTTATAGAACTTGAGAAAAGCTCACTATCCGGCAAAAATATCCAGTACACCTCTGCACATCAATCAACATTTTTTTGGAATTAAATTTTTTTTCATATCATGTGCTCTCTTTTTCAAAAATAGAGTTATTTGAAAAACAGCTGAAACATAATCAAGAAGAAAGAAATTCTTGTTTACCGGATTTTATTTTATAAAGATTTTGTGTTATTGATGTAACTAGAGATTCAGAAAAGTCTTTGCAGTTAAAAATTTTAACTTGCAGCATAATGGTCTGCAGCACATTGTTTCAAAAACAGATGATGAACATATGTTTTTAAAACAAAATTAAAACTTGTTTAAATGGAGCAGATGTAGAATTTAAAATAAGTATATGTCACCATGGTATATCAATTTCTGTTGATGCACAACTATGAGTAGCTCATTTTCTTAAAATCAATTTATTTGGACTTGGCGCGTTTTCCAGATAGACTTCTCATATGTTGATGAAATAATTATTATAGAAATAATAGTTATAATAAATATAAACAAATTATATTGTATTATACAGTAGTTATTATATATATTATATAATATAGATAATAACAAATAATATTTTATTATGACAAATTATATTATAATAGTTATTATATATATTATATTATAATATTTTTATATTTATTGTAATATATTATATTATAATAAATATGAAAAAAAGTCTTTTGATCTATTGATGCTCTGTCCATTCAAACAGTGCTAGTTCGTTTACATAACTCAAAACTTTTGGGTGAGGTCCAACATACTGTTTTTTACCAGGGTTTTTTTCGATTTGATTTTTTTTTTCAGGATTCATTTTTAAGATAAATCTACATAGTTAGTTCAGATTAATAAATTATTATTTAAAGACAAAAAAAAAGAAAAGAAAGTAATGTTAAAAATATTAAAAACTTGTATGTATAGCAAGCATGTAAAGTGTACAGTTGCAGATGATCAGGATGCAGTGATTTAGAAGGAAAGGAAAGGGAAGATGTAGATAAAGTTAGAGAATACGTTGCAGGTAATATGAAAAAGCTATGGATTTTTATATTTTTTTTATAAGCAAGTATTAAAGTATATCATCACAAATGAACCCTGATCATTGTACTTTCGTGTTTTGAGAAGCATTTTTGTGGAGTAAATCTATGATTTCAGCTGACAGCTTTTCCCAGGGAACTTTGAAAACATCTATCCAATTGTCTTGCCAAGCACTGAAAGATTCAGATATAGGTACCAAATGGAACCAAAGCATGATCCTGAGGAAAACATTTGATAGTAGGATTTCCTTTTAAAAGTTACAATCAAAATTAATTATATAATATAAGTTATATATAAATACAAGTAAATAATTAAATAATAACTTAACAATTATTAACATCAAAATTTCTATTTTACCAAGGACGTATTAATAGATGAACGTTTAACTCATTGTTATAGATCTGAGGCGCTGCAAGTAAACAAAAACCTATGCAAGCTATAATTTTTAGCGTCATTTTTCTGAATAAATTATAAAAGTAAACCAACATTTTTCCGGTAATTTTGCTTTTCTTACTACTTTTTTTAAAAAGTACAATTACCTACAAAACTCTAACTTTTTTTTTAAATTAATGCATTTTAGTTTATTAGAAATAGTTTTAAATCTATTTTAAAATGTCAAATTTGATACGTGTGCGCTTTTTAATAAGAACTTATTATTAATAAAACTTAAACGTCAAAAATCATATTTTTGTAAAAAATAAACCTTTTTTGACTTTTGACCTATTTTGTTTATTGTGAAAGTTTGCGTTACATAATTTATAGACAATCCCTTATTCCAAAAGTATGGTAAAAGACCGTAATTTTTTGAAAACGGATTTATTCAGTAAAATACTCTCGAGTGCCGAATACAACGGGGGGTGGGAATAAATGGGTGGGTGGGAATTTTAGTCAAAATCTAACAAACGGGGGGGTTTTAATAAACGGGGGGGGGGAGGAATGAGAGATTTTTTCTGAAATATAAAAAAGGGGGGGGGATTTTTATCTACAATATAAATGTGTGGGTTTTTTTGTTTAAAAAAAAGGAACATCTTCTAGTTCTAGTAAACAGAGAGAGAATGTAATCCCCGTACCCCTTCTTACAACCCCGTAGTAACGTACTAAAATAATTTACCTAAAGAAAATGTATGACTTTAAAAAAGGTTTAATTATCAATATTTATTAACTTTAAATAAAATATATAAAAATGATCTTTTTATTTAAATAGATCCTCAAAAGCGTTCCTGATTGAATCATTTTCATTGCGGTGTTCCACTTCATTTTCTAACTGTTCGTTGTCA